TCTGTAACTCTTTACCTTCCAAGATGTTTGGCAATTTCGCAAATCTTTCCAATGATATGCAACCACTCACATCTACTGAATATATGTTTGGTGGAAGATCTGGAATCTCTACAAGCCTCTTGCAGCCAACCAAGTTCAGTTCTTGCATGTTGACAAATTTGGTAATCCATTCGGGAAGTCTAACAAAATTGGATCCTGAAAGATCTAGTATGCCTAATCTGGACCAACAATCAAGAGTCCCAAGGAAATCGATTTCGGATAAATTGGCTCCTTCTATATATAAATGGGAAAGATTTGGAAGCGTTAAAGAACCAGCAATGTCATTTGAGTAGGTTGGAATCACCTTATTTGGAAATCTCACAAGCTTCTGGCATCCACGAAGATAAACAAATTGAAGATTCTGTAACTCATAAATGCTGCATGGCAGATTTGTGAAGTTTTTGCAGTTGCTTAACTTCAACGAATACAGACGAATGAGATATCTGATTGATGAAGGCAATTCTTCGATGGCAGTGCCGGATAGGTTCATCTCTCCCAATGATTCCATCTTTCCAACAATCTCAGGGAAATTTTTTAGCCTTCCACAATGACTAAGATCTATAGATTCCAGAGATTTTAAGTGAACCCTTCCTGGAAGTTTCGTAAGTTTACGGCATCCTCTCATACTCAAGCAAATAAGCTTATCAAGGAATCCAACAGAAGGATGAACCTCAACTAAACTTGTACAGTAGTTTAGATTCAAGTCCTCTAAATTTGGGAATCCAGAGAAGTTGGGGGTTTCTGTGAGGAACTTGCATCCCTCCAAACTCATAGATTTTAGATTCTGCAACCTCTATGAGGTAGAAAGGAAAAAGAAAAAGATCAACCGATAAGCTTTACTTGAAGAGATGTAAACAACAACTTCATAAAGTAAACTCTTGAAAATACCATTGTATGAAAATAAATTGACAACACGTACCTTGAATCCTTCTCCAAGTTGTGACAAGCTGCTGCGAGGCATATTGATTTCCACAAGTTTCTTTGGATTAAAACTGGATGGAAAAGTTTGCAACGGACATTTAGGCCAATCAAGCAACCTCAACTCGTTGGGGAGATAATCCACACGAGTTTCAGAAAATCGTGCATTCCTATTTATGAAAATTTGAAGATTTTTCATCCTTGAGAAGCTATTAGCACTCAAGGATATCTCATGATGTTCTTCTGGAAAATTCATCATGATGCCTTTAATTTTACTCGTCCCCTAGAATGAAAGCGCAGTAGTATCAAACGATAAGATTTTCTTTGTTGTCAAGTTGATTATTTATGTATATATATCCATATCTGTATCTAATCTACTTAATACTTACAGTATTTTCTTCTAGGACATGACAAATATCCTCATAAAACCACAATCTGCTTCGTTTGCCTGGCTCAGATGGTGACTCTTGGCGAACTATTTCTTTACCCATTTCTTCTAGCAAGTGATGCATCCAAATACAATCTCTCTCATCAATATTTATGAGGGCTTTTTCCACGAGCAATACAATACTACACTTAGGGTTGAGGTCACAAATTTCTAGTATTTTTATCACATAGTTTTTATTTTCCCCTCTAAAGAAACAAGCAATGTGCAGGAAAACATTTTTCACATGCTCTTCTAATGCATTATAACTTATTTTGAGAATTTCCTGAATCTCTTTGTTTGGA